AGGTCACCTGTCACAAACACCCAACAGGAGAAGGGTGGGGGTCAGGGGTTGAGCAGGTTTGCGACTGTTCCAGGGGCTCATGGGAATGCCATTTGCGTTCAACGTTGGGGAGCTGAGGCAGGCTAACCCTTCCTGGGTGCAAGCAGGCTGGAAAGGGTTAAGCAGCTGCCCTGGGCCCACTGCAGATCTGTCACTGGCTGCTTGGCAGGCTGAGGCAGGAAGGTCGCATGGTGTGCCCAAAATATGGAGTGCATTTATGGCCAGCATGGGCTACTTGGCCAAAGCCTACGTTGAGAAAAAATTCAAAGCAGGGGTGGTGGGGGACCCTGATAGTCCCCAAACTTGGGGGGCAGAGCATGTCATCCTCAACCGAAGCGAGCTGAACCCAGTCTGGGCTACACGCGGCCCTGTCTCACAGCGTGAGAAGGGTTAAAGTTGCAGAAACAGCCCTGCCACCCACCCCTCAGAAGAGGGTTGGAGGCGTGCCAATCCCACCTCAACACACCACAGTCACGCATGGTGCTAGCTCAGTGCAGGGGAGCCTGGGTGAGGGGCACCCACATTTCAAAGCGAGGTGTTGGCCAGCCATGGAGTACAAACCATGACCCCAGCTAGCACCTGGAAGGCTGAGGCAGAAGAATCACAAACCTGAGGCCAACTAGGGCTACATACTGAGGCTGTCTCGGCTACCCCTCCAAGCTGGGCGTGATAGCGTGGGCGGATCTCCGTGAGCTCAGGGTCAGCCTGGTCCACATAGTGAGTTCCAGGACAGCCAGAGTGACATAATCTTGTCTCAAAAAACCAAAATACTGAGACTGAAAACAAAACATCAGAGCAAGCCAGCAAAAATAGCTTAGTGGGTAGGGGTATTAGTCAAGCCTGAAGACCTGAGTTACATTTTGGGGTCTCACAAGGAAGGAGAGAACTGACCACCTAGAGTTGTCCTCTGGCTGGGTGGTGGTGGCGCACACCTTTAATCCCAGCACTCAGGAGGCAGAGGCAGGCAGATTTCTGAGTTTGAGGCCAGCCTGGTCAACACATCGAGTTCCAGGATAGAGCGAAACTGTTTCAAAACCAACAATGAGTTGTTTGTGCTCGTCACACTCATCCATGCCCTGTTCCCTACAAAATAAATAAATGTAATCAAAACACATCACTGGGGAGTCAGGCCTCACCCAAACGGGCAGAGACAACAGGCTTTCCTTCCCACAGGAAGATGGAGTGCTCTGCTGGCTTCCTCCAGCACGGCCTAGGATGGAAGACAGACACTGCTGACCTGCAGGGTGACAGATGGGCGATCCCTGTCACATCCGTCGCCCTTGTGCTGGGACTGTTTGGTGTTCTGAGACAACAGGGGCCAAGGAGATGGGTTGGCACTGATCTGTGTCTCAGTTTCTTTTTGCGGGACAGGAAGGTAGCCTTAGCAGCAGTTCCCTGGGATTCTTAGGAGTGAGGGAAGGGCCCAGGGGTGGGGGTTCAAACCACAAATCAACCTCTTAGGCCTTACTGTGACGCCCCACACATGGGCGTGCGTCTGTGTCCATCAAAAGAGGTGTTATCACGTAGGCAGTGTGGATGAAGCCATTACCTGGAGGAGGACACTACAAAGGAGGTAGCTATGTTCCAGAGCCCCAGAACCTAGAACAACCTGGCAGTAAGTGAGCCCGGGGACGCTGGTGGCCGCTGTTTTCCCCAGAATTCCTGGAGGCAGAGCCAGCTCTACCATGAAGGAATCCGTGTGTCCATGTGCAGGATTCCCTAGGGTGATGAGGAATGGCCAACCCTCTGTGGCTCAGGCATCCTAGTGGCACACGTGGGGCAGGCCCACCAGCCAAGTCAGGAGAGGAGGGGTCGCTAGCAAGCTCCTTTTCCTTCTGCAAACTTCAAAATCCCTGGGATAGGGCACCGTGGACATGTGACCTAGATACAGTGGCCTCAGTTCCCCCACATGTGCAATGAAGCTTAAGGCACTGCCTACTCACAGTGACAGAGACACAGCTGTTGTCATGACTGGCTTCCCTCTGCCTGTCCCTGGACAAGGGTCAATTAAGCATCTGCTGAACTGAACAGACAGGAGTGTCAGGGTCACAGGTTCAGGGGTGAGGTGGTGTGGTGGTGAAGGGAGGCATATTGCGGCCAATAGCTAGACAGGAGCTATAGGTGGGACTTCCGGGCAGAGAGAGGAACCAGGAGGTCATAATAGGGTTGGGGAGGATACTCCAGGAGACAGAGGAAGCAGAATGGGTGGTACATGACAGACCACAGGTTACCAGGAATGGGTCAGTTTGACTGATAAGAGCTAGTTAAAAACAAGGCTAAGCTAAGGCCGAGCTTTCATAATTAATAAGAAGTCCCTGTGTCCTGATTGCAGAGGTGGCAGGGTACAACCACACAAACGGAGAAGTCACACCAGCCAGCACAGCCACAGTCGCTGCCTGGGCTGCTTTGCTCCCGGAGACTCGGAAGTGGACCCCAAAACTTGCCGGAGCAGAGGCAGTAAATGCCGCTTCAGCAGACACCCACTGGCATGAGGCTAGTCTCTCAGGGAGCGAGGAGGAAGCCACCTAAACACCTACTAAGAGCTTAAGGTGTGTTTTACACAGTCAGAGAACACTACAGATACACAGAAAGTCAGGTTCAGATACAAACAAACAAAAAAAACCTTTATAAAATCTTTGCCGGGTGGTGGCGGCACACACCTTTAATCCCAGCACTCAGGAGGCAGAGGCAGGCGGATCTCTGTGAGTTCGAGACCAGCCTGGTCTACAAGTGCTAGTTCCAGGACAGCCTCCAAAGTCACAGAGAAACCCTGCCTCGGAAGAAAAAAGAAAGAAAGAAAGAAGAAAAAAAAAGAAAGAAAGACTCCAGGACAGGCGACATTCATTATATGCTGATCCCTCTACAATGGCAGCAGCTCTGAGACTGGATCATCATAAATCTTGTTGGCTACAGAGTCCTCATGACTTATTATTACATGCCATCCTTTCATATGAACAGAGAGAAATTTATATTACAGTTTGGTTATACAGTCCAAACAGACCTGTAAAGTTAACAGATGCCTTTTATCTGCTCAAACATAGAACAAAAAATCATCTTTAACTGACTTGTGCACGTCACACATTCCATCCTGGTGTTAACACGGGTATATCTGTAATCTGTATCTATATATAGATAGTTATGTTACCTTTAAAAGTCTGTGTGTGTTCAGAAAACAAAAAGGACCAGATGCGGATAAAGACGAGTGGCCCAGGTGATCCAGCCTCTCAGAAGGCCTCGGGTGCAGTTTCCTCAAAATTCTGCATCCAGAACAACTTCAAAGTTGCTAACTACGATGGTCCAGCCTCACACACTTCAGATAAGCCCTGCATTTCCCCATCACACCGAGACTGGACAACAAATGATTCGGTTAGCTCTCCCTGGACTTGACTATTCTCCCAATTTTCTCAGGGTCTTATAAAGATGCCATCACCCAAAACAACAGGAAGCAGGGGGGTTGGTCATTTGGTGGGTCGTGGCTATTTGCCATCATTTAGGGGGGTTGGTTACAAGTTGTTGGTCATAGGGAGAAAGCTGAACAAAGGAGATTAGATTCGGGGATCTCATTCTGAGAAGAAAAAGGGGGATACAGAAATGACAGCATAAAAGGGTAGATTATTGAAGCTACTATCAAACTAAAAAAGCAACTACTTGTCTCAGGTTTTTACATTAGTATGGACTTTCGTATATTGATACAAATTTAAGGTTATTTTTGTTATAGTGTACGTTATGTTTCTACTCTTTAAGATGTTTTTATATACTGACACAAAGTTAAGGGCTATTTTTATTAAACTGCATATATGTTGCTATTCTTGTTTAAGATGTTTTTGTATATAGATACAATTTTTGTTTTTCGAGACAGGGCTTCTCTGTGGCTTTGGAGCCTATCCTGACACTCGCTCTGGAGACCAGGCTGGCCTCAAACTCACAGAGATCCGCCTGCCTCTGCCTCCCGAGTGCTGGGATTAAAGGCCTGCGCCACCAACGCTATAGTGATACAAATTTAAGGTTATTTTTGTTATATGTATATGTGTTTCTACTCTTGTTTAAGGTATTGTACCTATGCAGCTCATTTAAAAATGCAACCTAAAGTTCTAGTCCTTAAAAGCCATTATTATAATGCTGGGTGGTGGTGGTGCACGCCTTTAGTCCCAGCACTTGGGAGGCAGAGACAGGTGGATCTCTGTGTGTTCCAGGTCAGTCTGGTCTACAGAACAAGTTTCAGCACAGCTAGGGCAATAGAGAAACCCTGTCTCAAAACAACAACAAAAACCTATTATTATAAATCATTTAGGGCCGGGAGTTGGTGGTGCACACCTTTAATCCCAGCACTCAGAAGGCAGAGGCATGTGGACCTCTGTGAGTTCGAGGCCAGCCTGGTCTACAGAGTGAGTGCCAGGATAGGCTCCAAAGCTACCTTGTCTCAAAAATCCAGAAAAAAAAAAAAAGAGGAGGAAAAAAAAAGAGGTATAAAGGGTATAAGGTTGCGAGACATAAAAGCTTAACTTGTCTAAGAAATGTTTTGAGATCTAAAAAGACAGTTTTAGGATGGAAAGTTATGATAGAAAATGGTTTAGGCATAAAACTTTAAATTCACCAAGATAATAGTTTTCCTCTGAATATTCCAAAT